CTCTTATTATTCCTAAGACCAGAGATAGATTGGAAGTGATCTATTTTTCATATCTTTTTCTTTTTCTTTTCCTTTTCCTTTTCTTTATATTTTGTATTTTCAATTTTCTTTTTCATTTCTAACTTTTAAATTTGCACCTTTAAAATTTCAATAAAATATTATTAAACAAAAAGAAAGAAAGAAAAAGGTCTGGTCCAGCTGAGCCAGTCCTGGGTAGGGACCTCTGAGCACCAAGAGATGTTCCGCTGATTCTGTTGTGGCCTTTCTGTGTTTTTGAGGGGTCTAAGAGGAGCATTTACAATTTCCCTGTGAGAATTGCTCACCCCAGCGGAGACACAGATGTACACCTACTTAAGCACTAGGGATATACACTAAGTGTATGTCCCAATCCCTTTAAAATGTAATCCATAATCTCGTGATAGTAAAATATGTTTTATTCTTTTTTAAAACATTGTCCGGGCTGTATACAGGAACATTTACAAAAAGCATTTTCATGCTAAATCCAGCATCTTGTCCCCTATCTTTCTAAAACTTCTGTATAAACAGCGTTTATTATAAAGGGAATGCATCATATTCAGAGAAAACTAAAACAGGATTTTCCAAATAAATTCACTTTAGGAAGATTGGCTGCAGCAGCCTCTCTTTCAACACTCTCACACACTCCTCCAAGTCTAAATACGTTTAAACCGTGATTAAAATACAGATTTTTTTGCTTATTTCTCTAAACATGCTTTTAATTGGACTTTTAAAAGCCAGTCAGATTTCTAAGCTGGATTAGTGCTTGTGGGAACAGGACTGGGGGTCACTTTCCTGAATCATCCTTGTGTAGAAAAGCGGCTATAACATTTTCTGGAGGCGGAGGGCTTGGAGGGACTTTGAGAGAAACGAAGAGGCAAACGCAGACAGGAGGAACACGCAGCCTTTGAGGCATTTTTCAGTGCTTCCAGACTGCCCTGACTTCACCCTCCAAGCAACAGAAATCAGCCGGTGTCCCCATCCTGTCACTGTTGGAGGTTGGGAGACGGTCTCGGGAGACACGTGGGGCAGCATCCCCTGACCGGGCGCCAGCAGGACGAGAGATGGCCAGGGGCCGGGCACCCGGAGAGCTGGAGAGCCACATGGTGGGTCGGGGCTGAGGACGGGGCAGCTGACTGAGGTGGGAGAGCAGAACTGGGGTGCTACCAGCTCCTCCACAGGAAACTGGCCCCCTCCCAGTGCCCCCGACCGAGATCCAGGAAAGCGCAGGAGCTGCCCCGAGGGAGCCATCCGACGGAGCAGACCCGAGCGCCGGGGTCCTGGTTCAACAGGCACAGCAGCAGGAAGGGAAGCGCTCGACCAAGAGCTGTGCTGGCTGAAAACAGTCCCCGGGGCGGCGGTGGCCGCGGGTGCTGCAGGTGCCTAATCACGGAAGGAGCTGGAGGGGGGCGGAAAGAAGCCCCCGGGCCAGCGGGGGAGCATGCGCAGCTCGTAGGTTGGGGGGATGTTCCCAAAGCCACTCATTTTGGGGGAGACATCAACGTCCTTTGGGTGCAGGAGGGACTTCAGGGAGAAGTTTTGCAGCACGGTGGTGAAGTACAGGAAGAGCTCCATCCGAGCCATGGCTTCCCCCAGGCAGACGCGCTTCCCTGGAAAAGGGGGGAGGGGGGCGGCATCAGTCTGGAGGTTACTTTGCCAGGGGTGCGTAAAAGGGAGCCGCATCCCGCTCCAGGGAAGGATCTCCCCTTCGGGTCCCCTCCCTCTCAGGAGGCATTTTCCCCTTCTCTTATCAACGGTAACCGCTGCCCTCCCAGTCTTCTTGGGGTGAGAAGCGTGGGGGCCACAACACTTTATCTCCACACCAGGATTGCTTCAGCTGAAGGAAGAGGGATGTGGCTAAAGGCACTGAGGGAGGGTGGTAATGGTGGTGGGGTGGGGGCTTGGGCCAAGCCCTCGTTCTCATCTGGCCCAGAGGGAGAGCCAGGCCAGGGCGAGTGAGACTGCCAGCCCGGGGCAGACTTTTGGCTTTCAGGGGCCGGGCCACACGTGGTGCCCCCTCCCTACACCCCGGGGAGGGGTCCTAATGGGAGCCAGGTGACTGGGGCTTTGGAGGCAGAAGCTGTTTCTCCTTCCCCGGCTGTAAAAATACGACTCAAGGGGATGAAACGGCGGCGGGGCTTGAAGCAGCTCCTGGGCTCTCTGCCTGCCACTGTGCTGCTCTTGTGGGTGTCTCCAGAGCAAGAAAAGCAGAAATAAAAAAGAGCAAACCATGAACCCAGCCTTACCCGAGGAAAATGGTACAAAAGCTTCATTCTTCTTGAAACGCCCTTTCTCATCCAGGAAGTGTCCGGGGTTGAAGTTCTCTGGGTCGCTGAAGTATTTGGGGTCACGTAAGGCTGAGCCTAGTAAGGGGAAGACATCCGTGCCCTGCAGAAACATAACCCCCAGGACCAGACTGAGCCTCCGTTAGCCAGATGGTCGAGGTCATCTCCGCACACTCCTCCTTCCTCTCTGGGAGACCGTCCTGCAGATGAAACTCTCCCGCAGCCTCACCTTCGGCAGATGGTACCCCCTGAACTGAGTGTCCCGGACCACCGTGTGGGGTACTCCCATGGGCACTATGTCCGTCAGCCGCTGGATCTCGTGGATGACAGCATCCGTGTAGGGCATCTTCAGCCGGTCTTCAGTGGCAGGAATGCGATTGGGGCCGATGACCTGGTCAATCTCCTGGTGCACCTTCTCTGCCAAAACATCAAGAAAATGCTTCTGGGGGAGCTGTGGAGGTGGTGCCCCAGGGCCCTCAACCCAGTGGGGGGCCACTGCCTCAGTCCTCTTAGGAAACAGGGCAGGCCTGGGTGGGCACTTGAAACTGGACGGGAGCGGGCCCTCCTCCCTCTTTTTCCAAGCACTCCTGCCCCGTTTTCACAGCCAAGGGATAAACGTCCATATAAGATGGCTGCTATAAGTCAGTGGGGAATAGCTTCACCCAAATGGTCACCCTCTCCCCCCCAATCTTTTTTTACAGCGAGGCCATCCCGATGAAAAGCACTCCGCTCACTTGCCCAAATTCCCGCTATGCCCATGGAAATGTTCCTGCTGGGGCTGACCGGCAGAGCTTATGTGGGCCCTGGTCTGGGAGGGAAGGGTTAGACCTCTCCTCCTGATGCAGAACTGCTTTCCTGACGCTGGCTATTAACTTCCTTTTTAAAAAAATGACGCATTTGTTCCATTAACCGCCCACAGGGCTCTAAACCCATGAAACAGCAGGCTGCGCGGGCCTGTGCTGTTTTCCACAGGTTTTAATGGGTCTTCTATAAGCTGCCTGTTGCGATGATTGCCAGCGCTCCATTCAGACCAGTGGGATTCCCAGCAGTGAGGGCCTTCCAGGAATGTGTGCAGAACAAGCTTCTCTTGGGCAGGTCTCATGCAAACTGCCCCAGACTTTGGCCACCATACCTTCCACTTCTGGGTATTTCATCAGGAAAAGGAGTCCGTATCTCAGGGTGGAGCTGACAGTCTCTGTCCCAGCAAAGAACAAATTGAGGGTTGTGAGGACCAAATTCTTTAGGTTGAATTCACTGGAAGGGTTTCCTTTTTCCTTCAAGAGAAGAAATTGTTTACCTCAACATTGTGTCTTCTGTGCATGGTGAGTAGAGGGGGGATCACACTAGAAGCACATTGATTCAGGAGGTCCAAGATTACAGGCCACTCACTTATTTACTAGCGGGGTATTCTGGGAGCTGAAATCCAATGGCTCCCTGAAACTACTGGGGGAGCAAAGGGAAGCAGGTTGGAGAAGACTGATCTTAGGTGGGGGACATCATACTATCACGAGACAGGTCCACTTGTCTGTGTTGTAGGAAAAAGAACCTGTTCCTGAGATGGCTTTCTACACCTAAATAGACCTGTATCATAGGATGGACCCCAGTGGGGCTTTTCCATTTCCCTCCCACTCCACCCCTTCCTCTAGTCTCTCAAATTTCCATGCTTCTCTCTAGTGATGAGAAATTCCTGGTGGTACCTTCTCCATCTGGATGAGGAAGCAATCAATGAAGTCCCGAGGGTTGTTGGGATCAAGTGTTGCTTGGTTGATTTTGATTTTCTCAGCAATGAAGTCCTTCAGCTCCTCAATGAGGTAGTAGATGCGGTTGTGTCTTCCAGGCAAGTACTGCATGATGCAGGAATACATGTCATAGAGCTGGGAGGAAAAGGAAAGAAACCTGGCTTGTGCATTGGACAAAACAAACAAGCAAGCAATGGTATCGCTGAGTGAGGCTAGCCACAGAGTCCCAGGAAGAAGCCCATTCCCGATTCTGCAGGAGGCTCCATCGGGAGAACTCTTCCCTCCCACACAGACGCCTGCTCCAGCCTTGGCTACTACCTGTGCCCAAGGAGTGCTCATCTCTATAAAACTTTCGTTGATCATACGCAGCAAGGAGAGGAAGGTCTTATCTCCGTAGTCGAAGCGGCTGCCAAAGACAACTGAGCTGATGACATTGGAAACCGTGCGGCTTAGGAAGAAGGTAGGCTCAAAGGGCTGACCTGAGAAACGTAAAGCAAATGGCTACTTGAGAGTGCAGTTTTCCCTGAACCCTGCATGCGCAAAGCACGAGCTCCATTTCAGTGCTGCTGTGGAAAGAGCTGGGCGTGATCTTTACCAACCTTTGGTTTTCCTGAATTCCTCCAGCAAGTACTGGGCCTCCTCCTGGATCCGCTCTTCAATGGACCTCTTCCCCATCCCGAAGTTCCTCAAGGTGGTGAGAGAGAAGCGACGGAGTTGCTTCCAGCGCTCCCCGTTGGCTAGAGCAACGCCTAGAAAAGAAGGGGAAATGGTGCCACTGAAGGCAGCCCCTTCTGTCCTATGAAAGCGTTTTCCTCCTTGAAGCAATGAACCATCATTGTAGAAGATGAGAGAGCTCCCCCAGGTGTTCCCTCAACCTCTCACCAGCTTCTCCTTCTACCAGAAAATATTTCCACTGGATTCTCTTGAGGAGATGCCCTAGATCCGGTCCACTCACCAAAACCGTTGAAGTTCCGGTCAATGGAGGCCAGTTCCCCTCTGCCACTGAACTCCTCAGCCTGATCCACCAGAGCTTCCTTTACTGTGTCGTGCCCACAGAGAACAACCACCCTCCGGGGTCCGAGGTAGACTGTGAACACTGGGCCGTATTTGTCTCTCAGCTGCAGGAGAAACCAGAGGAAGAAAGATAAAGGAAGGGCGGACAGAAGTTTATGAATGCTTTCTTTGCCAGCCTCTACCTGGGGCCATGGCAAGAGATTTAGGCCAGAGGCAGGACAGTTTTTCTTTTCAGAAATGTTTGGTGAAGGCCCATAACTTAGACGGCTCTAAAATGGAATTAGAATGATCTACTCTCTGTGAAGGATTTGATGAGCCTTAATGTTTTAGTGGCACTTCCATGTCTGGGAGCTGTCTACCTGTGTAGCCTGCTTGCTGTGAGGCAAATAATGGGGCGGTCTTGCCTTCAAGCCCAAGACCTTTGGCTGGCTGTGGAGCTGTCAAACCGGGCTCTGAAAAGGCTCTTCCCCATGTGTCTTCATGGAACCAGAGGTACCTTGAGTGACAAGGGCGGGATGTTCATTCCCAGAGCTTAAAATGGCTCCGTCTGGGCAACTGGAGCTTCTGCTCAGACACCTTGTGAGCCTTGAACTCCCTCTCCCTGTGGGCAGCACATCCAGCCTGGTTTCCTCCCATGTACCTTCTTGCACCAAAGAGGGGACAACTCACCGCTAGGAAGGACTTGAAGGGCTCGCTGGTTTTCACCTGCAGTAAATTTCCAAGGAAGGGCAGCGGTGTGGGTCCTGGGGGCAGCCTCCCCTCCTTGTGCATCCGCTTCCACGCAGCGATGAGCAGCAAGCAAGAGAAGCAGATGCCCAGGAAGATGCCCAGCGCGCCCCCAAGCTCCATGATGGCCACGCTTGGAGTGCGCCTGGAAGCCCCCAGAACGCTGCGGCTATATATCTGCCTCTCCAGCGGTGAAACCCAGGAGCTGAGCAGGAAAACAAGATTGGGTTTCACAGTGAAGTGCGCTGGGCATTCACCTGGCAGGGAGGGAGGCGGGGAGGGGGCACCTCTTTGGGCAGAAAGGGCTTGTGGAGCTCCTCTGGCCTAAGGCCGGGGTGGGGGGAGCTTCCCACCCTAACAAGGACGAGCAGGCAGAATTTCCCTAAGCCGAGACTTGTCGGACCCAAAGTCCTTTGAATGGCCAGGTCTACCTTTCAGGGGCCGAAGTGTTTCATTCCGTTGTTGCAGAACAAGAGGGGATGCTGGGAATTTTTTGTCAGCAACATCTGGCTGGCCAGGTGGCAAACCCAGAAGACAGAGCGGTTTGGAAATATTCTTTCTGGGGCCTGGCCTCCCCAGAGCGATGCCTGCGGGCACCGGGAGGCCTGTTGATACCTCCCGTGGTGACTGCCAGAATTCTCGGCTCACCGCATTACGAGAAGCACAGATGCTTTCACTTAAAGAACAAAAAAGGAATGCCGAAATGCTGCAAGGCGAGGCACCTCCGCTTAATGTTTGTTTCCCAGAAGGCCCTGGAGCAAGGAGGGAGGCTGCGCTCCCAGACTAAGTTCACCTGCTTGGAAGGGGGCAAAAGCCACAAGGGGATGGGGGTGGGTGGCATCCTGGCCAATCAGCTGCTTGTTACTGGTTAGAGCAGTATTTGGGGGAGGGGGGCAGGTTGCCCGAGGGAGACCCGCGCCACCCGGCCAGGCAGAGGGGGCACGTCGCGGGCCCCGTCAGCGCGGGA